AAATCTGTTAGTCTTTAAGGTGCCACCAGACTCCTTGTTGTTTTTGTAGATACAGACTAACACGGCTACCCCCTGATACTTAATACTGACCATAAGTCCTACAGCACCCATTCAAATCAACAGAAGTAATGTATAATGAGGCATCTCTTTGTGTGCATTTTTATGTGAATTCTACTGCATATATTACTTGCCTACTAACAGGATCAAACCCTTTGCATACAAACCTAGCCCCTATCCTCGATGGCCACAGAGGGCCCTTTCTCAAGAGGCCTGTGTGCTTCCACTGGTGAAGAGGGGTGCAAGAGATGTGGGGGGTTGTGCAAAGGGTGGCCAAAGCACAAGCCCCCTGCAATGTTTACTTCAGTCACTGGGATGTAGCGTCTGTGGAACAAAGAACTGGAAGTCACTGAGTTCAGTCCCCTGCTATCGCAGGAAACCCCATCATATTATCCTATCAAGCTCCTGCTACTTCTACTGGAAAGCTGTTCCAGAACCTCACTCCTCTGATGGTTACTTCTAATTTCCAGTCTGACTTTATTCATGGCCAGTTCATTGTCCTGGGTAGGCTGGCTTCCTGCCTTTTTATGCATCCGCAGAGTGCATGCCACACCTACTTGATCCTAGTGTTTAAAATTGGGTTTCCTAACACTTGTGTTAATGTCAATGCTCAAGTCTTTTACAGAATAGTCAACTCTGGAGAAAGACTGATGGGTTAGGCATGCACACAGAGGCAACTGATAGTTTCTTCTTCTGCTTCTTCCTCTCTACTCCACTAATAGCACCAGACCTGGACCCAGCAGTAGTTGTCAGAAGTACTGGCCCCTTACTTCTGCTGCTAACAGAACTATTATCCTGGCTTCAGCCAAAAGGGATCCACTCTGCACTTGTGAATCTTGAATCTTGTTCCCCTCCCTGCTGATTTGGTTTCTCTGAACCCAATTATACTGCTCCCAACTTCAGCAAACCATGGTGTGCTTGTCCACCCAGGGATCCTCCTGTTTCCGACTGAGATGTTGTTCACACACTCGCATTGCAGTCCATTGCCAGCTCCTTATAAGTACTCTGGATACCATAGCAAAGAGGTTGAATCCTGGCTTTAAGTGCAAAGTAGAATTCAGCCTATATTATGAAGTCATTACCAGCACCTCCATAGTAGGCTCATTGTACTAATTTAGATGGCATATATGAGCCCAAAGAGTAAAATTTGTTAACGTAACTCAGAGTAGTGGGGCAGCTACCCCACTCCTGGAGAACAGGGGTTAAACAGCCAAGCTAGGCTGATTGGGGAAGCAGCCACAGCTGGGGCCATGCCCAATCAGGGCCCAGCTGGCCCTGATAAGAGGGCTGGGGGCCAGGAGCTGGAGGAGTCTCACTCTAGCCCTGGAGTGGGAAGAGCTAGCTGCCCGAGAGCAATGTACCTGAAGCAGAACAGTGCTGGGGAAAAGGGCAAAGGGAGCTGGGGAGCTCCAGCCTGGTAAATCCCCAGGCTGCAGGCCTTGGTGAAGGCCTAGAAAGATACTGGGGCTACCGAGGTGTAGCCTGGGGATTGGTAAAGGCAGCAGGTCCAAACCCCTTACCAATGATGAGTGGCCATTACAGACTGCAGTCTGCCCCAGTGAGCGGGGGCTAGATGATGACTGGCAGTGGCCACTGAGGCAAGGTGGGTTTAGAGGGTTGGGGGTTCCCCTGGGAGGGTAGACCCAGAGTGTGGGGATACTACTGGGGCTGAACCCTGAGGTAAAGGGGCACTGGGGTCTGGGAGGGACATAGGGCCTAAGGCAGGCGAGCCACCGGCCAGCAGGGGGCGCTCCGGAGCTGAAAAAGCTAATTCCCAAGATGACCAGCAGGAGGCTCCGCGTCGGTGAGTAGCTGACCTGCTACACCCAGTCACTGTCCAATATTAACCAGTGTTAAACAAGGTTTGGTATACAGACACCACAACCTATATCATGGCAAGCACCCCAAATCCATTGAACCTATTATTAAAGATGCAAAAGAAAAGGAAAAACAGTTCAAGCATTTGCAATGTAAAGTATTAAATAAGGCTTTTATTTTAACAATATCCCTTTTTCCTTTTCCTTAGCTAGATAGAGATTTTAAAAGGAAAACCCCTTATTTGACAGGGTTTTAGATGGTGTCAAAGATAATAACTATTCTTCTTGGGGGGAAAGAAAGGAAAGTCAGTTGAGATGGGCTAGAACTGTTGTTTTTGCGTTGTTCTTGAAGTTCGATCCTGAAAAACCAAGACCAACACACAACGGGAGAGATAAGAATAGAAAATGTAGTTTCTGTCTCTGGTGCTGACTCTTACTTGCAACCTTATTGTTGCAGAAACACAGGCACAGCCCACAGTCTTATCAGTCACTCTGAGACGTGACAAACTTGTACCAGCATTCGGCTGTTTAGGGCATTGTTTCTAACTGCCTTTCTGGTCACAGTCTTACAGCCAGATTGCAAAATATACAGTCTCTGCCAGCTAAACCAGGCTTTGATTAAACAGAAGGAAAAAGGAGAGTGTTAGAAAAGAGAAGAAATAAGGTGAGGCAGGAAGAGGACACATAGGGGAAGATTAGGTGTGGGCAAGATGAAGTCTCACATCATAGAATATCAGGGTTGGAAGGGACATCAGGAGGTCATCTAGTCCAACCCCCTGCTCAAAGCAGGACCAATTCCCAACTAAATCATCCCAGCCAGGGCTTTGTCAAACCTGACCTTAAAAACCTCTAAGGAAGGAGATTCCACCTCCTCCCTAGGTAACCTGTTCCAGTGCTTCACCACTCTCCTAGTGAAAAAGTTTTTCCTAATATCCAACCTAAACTTTCCCCACTGCAACTTGAGACCATTACTCCTTGTTTTGTCATCTAGTACCACTGAGAACAGTCTAGATCCATTCTCTTTGGAACCCCCTTTCAGGTAGTTGAAAGCAGCTATCAAATCCCCCCTCATTCTTCTCTTCTGCAGACTAAACAATCCCAGTTCCCTCAGCCTCTCCTCATAAGTCATGTGCTCCAGCCCCCTAATAATTTTTGTTGCCCTCCACTGGACTCTTTCCAATTTTTCCACAACCTTCTCATAGTGTGGGGCCCAAAACTGGACACAGTACTATAGATGAGGCCTCACCAATGTCGAATAGAGGGGACCGATCACGTCCCTTGAACTGCTGGCAATGCCCCTACTTTTACAGCCCAAAATGCTGTTACCCTTCTTGGCAACAAGGGCACACTGTTGACTCATATGCAGCTTCTCATCCACTGTAACCCCTAGGTCCTTTTCTGCAGAACTGCTGCCTAGCCATTCGGTCCCTAGTTTGTAGCAGTGCATGGGATTCTTCCATCCTAAGTGCAGGACTCTGCACTTGTCCTTGTTGAACCTCATCAGGTTTCTTTTAGCCCAATCCTCTAATTTGTATAGGTCCCTCTGTATCCTATCCCTACCATCATAGCTGCGGTTCAGGATTTAGCCAGAGCATGTGGAGATGATAGTGCCCTTCTGTGTTCCTTTCTCTGGCATGATTTTGTCAGTGGTATCAATAAAACCCTCTGTGTTTAAATGAATTCAGTCTGTCTCTGTCATATATGAAAATGTTTAAGAAAAGGTGTAACAGGTCATTGTGACAATATATAAACTTTCACTTACTTTGAGGACCTCTGGGGAACAGCTGACACACATCCTCTCTATCTGGTGGTGTTGCTGCTACCATCCAGTATTCACTCCTTGTTTCTTTTAGACTCAGAGTTAAAAGGGTTTAGTCTTTTCTCCCCAGGAACTGGAAAACCAAGAGATAAACTCTTGCTTGTGGTAATTATTATATAGCACCACTTCAAGAAGTGGCAATCAGTTGCCTAAATAACTTAGGGCTTGTCTACACTTGAAATGCCAGGGTGGCACAGCTGCAGCACTCCAGTTCTGTCTACACCGTGGAGCTGTCTACATCAGAGGTGAGGTCGGCTTAAATTTGTCACTCGGGTGTGGATTTTTCACACCCTTGAGTGACATAGCTGGGTCAACCTAACTTTTTAGTGTAGACCAGGTCTTACACCATCATACAGCATGATCTATTAATGTGGGAAGCTTCTGGGGCTAGGGACACCAAGCTCAGCTCATTTCAGCCTCTTCAGATTCCCTTCTCAGAGCTCTCCTAATGCTTCTTCACTTAGCCCATTATCCAGGCAAGTCTAGCGTGTGACTGCCCTGTCACAATTCCCAGATCTCCCTCTGTCGAGATCCACTTTCCAACTGTCACCTTGACCAAACCTCCCTGAGGTTCCACCTCCTGTGGTGACATCGCCACTGGTGTTGTCACCAGCCTGAGCAGTTCCTTCACACTTACATTTTACAGTTGAGCTTTTAATTAGGGTAAATGTATAGGCCCAATTAGCACAACTAGCTACAAACAGACTCAGGTCAACAGCTTGGATAACTTCACTGGGGCCAGTGTGACATTAGTGCTAACTCAATCAATCACCACCCATCATCTGCAGCTAATTTACATGCCACAATTCTATTGGGTAGAATGGCTCTGGTTCAAGGGGAGACTGGACACATGCAGTTTATTTGGCCAAACTCACTGATCTTTAAAGATTACATAGCTGCATACTAGCTTGGACCTCAGTGCTTAAAAGGCTCCCCACCTTAAAAGGTTGTCTTGGCACCACTCCCATTTTGGCAACACAGACAGGAGAACTCAGGCAGGAGTACAGGGGGGTGCCCTTAAACCATGGAGACATTGGAACTCAGGAACTATGCTCTTCCCACACCTAATATCACATAGTACCAGCCTCACTAACACAACCCCGCAAGCCAGTAAGTCAATTAGAAAATCAGTGCCAAATTCACAAAGTACATTTTGGCTTCTTTGTGCTACTCTAGTGTATTGGTGAATCTGCCTTTTAAAGTTTACATTAAAACTATTTGATTTTGTTTGCAAATATCTTAAACTCATTAGAAATATTACATATATCTATGGTACTTGCTTAACTGTAATGTCTAGCACCTCACAATTTTTTTAACGTATTTATCCTCACAACACCCCTCTGAGATCGTACTTCCCTGTTGCTCCCATTTTACAGATAGGGAACTGAGGAACAGAAAAACTAAATGACTTGCTGAAACTCACAGCAGAGCAGGGAATTGAACCCAGTATTCTTAGTCCCAGGCAGCTGCCCTAATCACTGGATCATCCTTCCTCTCTTGATGGTAGCATTCTCTTTGGATTCCCTGTGTAGCAGAAATAGCACATAATAATAGTAGTAGTAATAATACTTTTTAGAAAATTCTATGTAATTAGAACTAGGTAAGAAATGGGTGTTTCTCTCTCAAATTCACTGAGCTTTGTTACTGTTTGAAATCAAACAATAAATGATAAGAGCAGTATTATTACAGGATTCTTACAGGATTATTACAGGAGAGTCCCACAACAGATGTTTATGGTAAGGTGCTATTCATTTTGTATTTGAAGGTGTGCCTACGGAGTGGTTGTTGCCTACCCAATTGTGTAATAAAGCCAGGTGCTGCTTGTATTTCTGGACTTTGCTGCAAAAACTGTCAGGTAAGAAAAATGTACTGTAGGTTTTGTATTTTATGGTAAACTGAATGTTTAATTTTTTTTTTTTTTAGTTAATAGCCAGTGGCAATGCTATTCATTTTCACAATTTCCTTCTCAAGTACTGTATCTGTTAATCCCATGTAGATGGGTTGGGATTAGAGCTGGGCAATTTGTTTTTAGCAAATCATTTATTTGCTGAAAAAGGAAATTTCGGTCAACTTAAAACCATTTGCAAATTCATGTAGAGTTCACTGAACGATTTTGACCAAACCAAAACATCGAAATGTTTCAATAAGGTTAAAATGAAATGTTTTGTTTCACATCAAATCAAATGTTTTTGTTTTGACTTTAGGCATTTTGACAAAAGCAAAGGAGGAGAAATTTACAAAATGCTGGTGGTGAGGCTCCCTTATAAACTTTAGCCAATGGTTAGGGTCCTTTCTTGGGATGCTCATTTACAATCCTCCCCCTTTGGCTTATTTGGAGAAGGGATTTAAACTTGGGTTTCCCATATTATACGAGAGTGCCCTAGCCACTGGGATATTGTGGTATAGTCTTTCTTAATGTCTCCTGTTGAAGCTGTTCCATCTTTTAATAATTCATTAAATAGTCATTGGAGTAGGGACTTGGACTTGTGTCCCCTACATTCTAGGTAAATGTCCAAGCTACCAGCCTAGAGAGTCATTTTCACTTGCCTTCCTGAGCCCCAAAGCTATCCATTATTATTATGCATGACTGAATAATCAGTGGCCAGGGAAAGCGTGAGAATGATTCTATAACCTGGCAGTTAGGACACTCACCTAGGATGGCAGCTAAAGCTGTCAATGACAGACTGGTGAGAGGTTGAAAGGACCTGCCCATCAACATCCTCTCCAGAATGTTCTGTCTCCATTGGCAATGCATGGCTCCAAGCCCTATTGGAATGTCTACTCAGCTTTTTGGAACAAGCCTCCCAGCCTAGGTCAACAGAATTGTGCTAGCAGTGTGTGCTCTAGTGTACTGTGTAGACAGTGCTTTGGTGCTGCACCTTGGGCTGGAGCTCAGACTCTGAACCTGGGGCAGGTGGAGTGGGCTTGAGAGCACAAGCTCCAGCCTGAGTCAAAATGTCAAAGCACCGTCTACACAGCTAAAAATAGTGCACTAGCATGATCCCTGCTATCACAAGTTTGTGGACCTTGGCTGGGAAGCTTGCTCCCAAATGCTGTGTAGACATACACTATCTGACCTCAAAACATCCCCAAAGTGATATTTTCCCCAACATTATGTTCCTAAATGGACTTCTAATTTCTCTCTATTGTCCTCTTCCTTCATCATCATCCTGCAAACAGGATATTAGGAATCATTAAAAAGGGGATAGAGAATAAGACTGAGAATATATTATTGCCCTTATATAAATCGATGGTACGCCCTCATCTCGAATACTGCGTACAGATGTGGTCTCCTCATCTCAAAAAAGATATACTGGCACTAGAAAAGGTTCAGAAAAGGGCAACTAAAATGATTAAGAGTTTGGAACGGGTCCCATATGAGGAGAGATTAAAGAGGCTAGGACTCTTCAGCTTGGAAAAGAGGAGACTTAGGGTATGTCTACACTACGAGAGTAGTTCGATTTTACTTAAAGCGAATTTGTGGAACCGATATTACAAAGTCGAACGTGTGTATCCACACTAAGGACAGTAATTCGACTTTGTGAGTCTACACTAACGGGGCAAGCGTTGACATTGGAAGCGGTGCACTGTGGGCAGCTATCCCACAGTTCCCGCAGTCCCCGCTGCCCATTGGAATCCTAGGTCGAGCCCCCAATGCCTGCTGGGGCAAAAAATGTGTCGAGGGTGGTTTTGGGTAACTGTTGTCATTCAACCCTCACTCCCGCCCTCCCTCCGTGAAAGCGTCGGCGGGCAATCAGTTCGCGCACTTTTCTGGTGATTGACAGCGCGGATGCCACAGCACTGCAAGCATGGAGCCCGCTGCGATCATCGCTGCAGTTATGGCCGTTGTCAACACCTCGCACCTTATCATCCACCTTTTTCAGAGGCAGATGCTGAGAAATCGGGTGAGGAGGCTATGGCAGCGCGGTGAGGACATTAAGTCTGAGAGGGGCACAGACCTCTCACAAAGCACGGGACCCCGCGCCGTGAACATCATGGTGGCAATGGGTCATGTTGATGCTGTGGAACGGCGATTCTGGGCCCGGGAAACAAGCACGGACTGGTGGGACCGTTTAGTGCTGCAGGTCTGGGCTGAATCACAGTGGCTGCAAAACTTTCGGATGCGGAAGGGAACTTTCCTGGAACTTTGTGAGTTGCTGTCCCCTGGCCTGAAGCCCAAGGACACCCAGATGCGAGCAGCCCTGACTGTCCAGAAGCGAGTGGCCATAGCCCTCTGGAAGCTTGCAACGCCAGTCAGCTACCGGTCAGTCGCGAACCAATTTGGAGTGGGCAAATCTACCGTGGGGGTTGCTGTGATGCAAGTAGCCAATCCAATCGTTGAGCTACTGCTCCCAGTGACCCTGGGAAATGTGCAGGTGATCATAGATGGCTTCGCTGCAATGGGATTCCCAAACTGCGGTGGGGCTATAGATGGAACTCACATCCCTATCCTGGGACCGGCCCACCAGGCCAGCCAGTACATTAACCGAAAGGGCTACTTTTCAATGGTGCTGCAAGCACTGGTGGACCATAGAGGACGTTTTACCAACATCAAAGTCGGATGGCCGGGCAAGGTTCATGATGCTCGCGTTTTCAGGAACTCTGGTCTGTTTAGACGGCTGCAGGAAGGTATTTACTTCCCGGACCACAAAATAACTGTTGGGGATGTGGAGATGCCTATAGTGATCCTCGGGGACCCAGCCTACCCGCTAATGCCCCGTCTCATGAAGCCCTATACAGGCGCCCTGGACGCTGAAAAAGAACTCTTCAACTACCGGCTGAGCAAGTGCAGAATGGTGGTGGAGTGTGCTTTTGGACGTCTGAAGGGGACATGGAGAAGCTTACTGACTCACTCTGATCTCAGCGAAACCAATATCCCCATTGTTATTGCAGCTTGCTGTGTGCTCCACAATCTCTGTGAAAGCAAGGGGGAGACGTTTATGGCGGGGTGGGAGGTTGAGGCAAATCACCTGGCTGCTGATTATGCCCAGCCAGACAGCCGGGCGATTGGAAGAGCCCAGCGGGACGTGCTGTGCATCTGGGAAGCTTTGAAAACTAGGTTCCAGAGTGAGCAGGGTAACCGGTGACTATTAAGTTTGTTTAAACAGAAGCTGAACCTGCCCCCGTTTCTTTACCCAGTTAATGTTGACTATCCTCTCCAGTTACCAACCCCTTCCCCCCCTTCCAACACACCTTTAAAAATAAAATAAATGAAACTTTGTTCATTAACACCGTTTTCTTTATTAAGAATTTCGTGGTAAAGTGTTGAAACTGGGATGCAGACTGTGGTGGGGAGCGGGTGTAGTGATGAAAAGGACACTTCTAAACTTGAGGAATGACAGGCTCCTGCTCCTAGAGCGGTCCACAGTGGTGGACTGGTTGTTTCAACGGAGCCTGCCACCCCTCCTTTTCGGGACTCTGTGTGTGGGGGCTATGTGACTTTGTGGCGGGGGAGGGCAGTTACAGATCCCCTGCTGCGTGGCTCTGTCATCCAGGCTAAGAACCGCTGCATAAGATCTGTAACCGCCCTCCCCCGCCACAAACTCACATAGCCCCCCCACACAGAACATGAAAACCACCTCCCAGACTGACCAGGGTGCCTAGTGACTGCAATGTGTGTGTGACCTTCTGCTGAACCTGCCCCTGTGTCTGTACCCTGGTAAAGGTGACTGTCCTCTCCAATTACCAACCCCCTTCCCCCCCTTCAAACACACTCTCCTCTAAAAGAACATGACGGAAACAGTAATGAACAGAAACATATTTTTTATTAACGACTACACAGTTAGGGGATGAAACTGGGACGGGGGCTTGGGTGAGGTGCTTTTGGAGTGAAGGAAAGGACTTATCAAATCTTTGGGAATGAGAGCCTTCTGCTACTTGAGCAGTCTGCAGGGGTGGAGTGACTGTTTACACGGCTCCTGCCGCCTTCTTGGGACTTTGGGTGAGGGGGGGATGGGACTTTGTGGCGGGGGAGGGCGGTTAGAGATAGAATGCAGCTGGGCTCTGTCCTCCTGCCTCCGGTCCTGCAGAACATCTACAAGGCGCCGGAGCGTGTCCGTTTGCTCCCTCATTAGTCCAAGCAGCGTTTGAGTCGCCTGCTGGTCTTCCTGCCACCACCTGTCCTCCCGTTCGCTGTGTGATCGTTGGTATTACGACTTGTTCTCCCTCCACTGGGTCTGCTGTGCCGCCTCGGCTCGGGAGCAGCCCATAAGTTCTGAGAACATCTCGTCCCGTGTCCTTCTCTTTCATCGCCTGATCTGCGCCAGCCTCTGGGAGGGGGATGTCGGGGTAGCTCGGGAGACACTCGCAGCTGTAGGATGGGAAAAATGGAGTGAATTCCTCACAAAGGTACAGTTTTGCGAACAATGAATATAGTCTCTCTGTGAACAAGACCATGCACAGTACCTATCACATGCGCACTCAGTACAAGGTCGAATTTTTGGCCCTCCCATTGAGTGCCTGAGGTCTTGCTGTACACATCACACAAGCGGGGCCAGACAACGGAATTCGGCTAGCAGGCGGACATGGTAAGCCGTAGACTTTTGGCTGCTTAAAGCTTAATTTATAGCAGTGCCCTCCTTTCACGTTCCAAGAAATGCTCCTAGTGTTGGCCAGTTCCTGCTGCCGGCAATCCAGCCAGCATGAACTCTGCCCCTGTCCCACCCCCCTCGCGGCTGTCCCTGGGAAAGATCCCTGCATGCTGCCTCTGTCCCACCTCCACCGCGTGGCTGTAAACCGCCGGTTACAGTTATGTAAAGGAACAGGCAATCAGTCCCAATACTAACATTCTCCTGATTCAAAGCAGGTCACCATGAGTGATATCACTCTGATGAGGATTTCGGAGACAGAGAAAGACCGCATGCTGCGTGAATGCCAGCAAACACCAGGGCCGTATGCCGCCATGCTTTGCCAGGCAATGATCCCGGAGTACTTGCTGCTAGCCTGGCGCGGAAAAGTTTCCTACCATGGAGGACGCAATAAGGTCGCTCTGCCCAGGAACCTGATACAAAGGCTTTCACAATACCTCCAGGAGAGCTTCGTGGAGATGTCCCAGGAGGATTTCTGCTCTATCCCCGGACATATTGACAGAATTTTCCAGTAGCTGCACTGGCAAGGACTAAAAACTAAAGCGCCTAGGGCAAACTAATCATGAAAAACCCATTGTTAAGATACCATTCCTATTCTGTTCAAAATAAATGTTTAAAACACTTACCTACTGATCCTTCCCCTCATTCACAGTCCGGGTTACCACCTTGGGAGGGTTGGTAGGGGATCTCCGTGATCCCCTACCAACCTCTGGCTGTCGGGGAAATCAGCGTTGAAAGCGCTGTCGACTGCCTCGTCCTCCTCATCTCCTTCCTCATCTTCCCCATCCACGAACATCTCCGAGGAAGCGGCCATCGACAATACCCCATCGTCAGAGTCCACGGACAGTGGTGGGGTAGTGGTGGCGGCCGCACCTAGAATGGAATGCAGTGCCTCGTAGAAATGGCATGTCTGGGGCTGGGATCCAGAGCGTCCGTTTGACTCTTTGGTCTTCTGGTAGCCTTGTCTCAGCTCCTTGATTTTCACACGGCACTGCGTTGCATCCCGGCTGTATCCTCTCTCTGTCATGGCTTTTGAGATCTTCTCGTAGATCTTCGCATTCCGTTTTTTCGATCGCAGCTCCGAAAGCACGGACTCATCGCCCCACACAGCTATCAGATCCAAGACTTCCCAATCAGTCCATGCTGGGGCCCTCTTTCTATTCTGCGATTGCATGGTCACCTCTGCTGGAGAGCTCTGCATCGTTGCCAGTGCTGCTGAGCTCGCCACGATGTCCAAACAGGAAATGAGATTCAAACTGGCCAGACAGGAAAAGGAATTCAAATTTTCCCGGGGCTTTTCCTGTGTGGCTGGTGGCTGGTCAGAGCATCCGAGCTCGGACTGCTGTCCAGAGCGTCAACAGAGTGGTGCACTGTGGGATAGCTCCCGGAGCTATTAGCGTCGAATTCCATCCACACCTACCTTAATTCAACATGGCCATGTTGAATTTAGCGCTACTCCCCTCGTCGGGGAGGAGTACAGAAATCGATTTAAAGAGACCTCTATGTCGAAATAAATAGCTTCGTTGTGTGGATGGGTGCAGGGTTAATTCGAGTTAACGCTGCTAAATTCGACATAACCTCCTAGTGTAGACCAGGCCTAAGGGGGGATATGATAGAGGTATATAAAATCATGAGTGATGTGGAGAAAGTGGATAAGGAAAAGTTATTTACTTATTCCCATAATACAAGAACTAGGAGTCATCAAATGAAATTAATAGGCAGCAGGTTTAAAACAAATAAAAGGAAGTTCTTCTTCACGCAGCACACAGTCAACTTGTGGAACTCCTTACCTGAGGAGGTTGTGAAGGCTAGGACTATAACAGAGTTTAAAAGAGAACTGGATAAATGCATGGTGGTTAAGTCCATTAATAGCTATTAGCCAGGACGGGTAAGGAATGGTGTCCCTAGCCTCTGTCTGTCAGAGGGTGGAGATGGATGGCAGGAGAGAGATCACTTGATCATTGTTAGGTTCACTCCCTCTGGGGCACCTGACATTGGCCACTGTAGGTAGACAGGATACTGGGCTAGATGGACCTTTGGTCTGACCCGGTACGGCCTTTCTTATGTTCTTATGTTCTTGACTTCTCGCCATAGAATGGAATGCCTTTATGTCCAGAGTCATCTGAGCCTGGGCACTGTCAAGATGGCTCACATGAAGGAGGAGAACCTATTCCAGCTCCCAGTGCAAGATATCCTTATTTAGACAGAATTAAGTTCCTCTTCTTCACCCTCTCGAGCTCTCTGAGATTTCTCAGATCATCTGCAGGAGACCTTGGTGACAGCCAGACCCCCAACTAAGGGTTCTGCAATAAAGGATCAAATCACCTCCTCTAGACCCCAGAAAAGCCTGTGTCAACAATAGAGAGTTCTTGTGCTATCACTGATGCAATAAGTGTGGCACCTGCTGCTGTGGGAACCAGTACAGTAGCAGAAAGTGCTTCCATTCAGCCCACCCTACAGATCAGTATCTCAACTGGTCAGTAAATAAGGGACTCAGCAGAGAATCTCCTGGGATTGGAGAAACTATATTCATTTCCTCTACTTACCATCCTTACAGCCCTTTACTTCCAACCTCATGAATAGGAGTCCTCTGACAGCAATCCAACTTCATCGTATCACCCAATCCTTCCATACCAGTTTCTCAGGAAAACTTGGCAAAAGTTCCAAAGGATGTTTTCTGACAGATGTGTAGTGCTTGGCACACAGATAGGCCTTCTTTTTCCTCAGTGCCCAGTTATTCAGAAATATTTGCCACAAGGCTGCATTTACTCAAAGATTCATGGAATCCTCTAGAATTGGCAGAGGAGGAAGCATCCAGACTCTCCTTTCAGGCCATAGGTAAAACAAAACACATTCTTACAGATCTAATTCTCTACTACAGACCTGTGTTCCTCTCTCCAAACAGAAATCTCAGCCTATCTCTCTGATGTCTCTTCGTGGATATCCAGCCATCAGCTCAAGCTCAACATGGCTAAAACAGAACTCATTTCTTTCTCTCCATCCCCACTGTGCCCTCCGCAATACCTCCTTTTGATCACTGTGGACAACACCATCCTGTCTGTCCGTCAGGCCCCTTAACTTAGGTGCCATCTTTGAGCTGGACCATTCTCTAGGACCTCATTTCCAGGCAGTTTGTAAACCTTGCTAATTCTTTCTGTATAACAAATCTAAGATATGGCCTTTCTTATCCAATCAGACACCTAAAATTCTCATCCCTGCTCTCATCTCACAACTCAATTACTGCAACATCCTTCTCTCCGGTCTTGACAAATGCAATCTTTGCCCATTCATATAATTTCATAATGCTTCTGCAAAGATCACTTTCCTAGTTTGTTGCTTTGACCATGTCACCTGTCTCTTTGCTCCCCTCCCCTGGCTCCCTCTTCTCTTTCACATTAAATATATGCTACTTTTCTTGACCAATCCCCACCATGTCATCTCTCATTTACTATTGAGCGGTCAATGCTAAACTCCAATCCACCCATGATGCCAGCTTTCATTACCCTCTTGTCACATTTTCAAACAAGGACTTTCTGGCTTTCACCCATACTGCCCCTCATGCTTGGGAGGAGCTCTCCATAAACACTGATTAAAACTAAGCAATTACCCATCTCAAAACTATCCTTTTCCTTAATGCCTACCAAAAAATTGACAATAGGCTGCTGGTGAGCTAAGACCACTGCCTGTCAAGCTGTCCAATACTGTCAGATTGTTTCCTTGCATGCTACCCCATCTATCTGTAGCCATCATTTGTCTCTTGTCTTATACTTGGGTTCTGGCTCTTTGGGGCAAAGACTGTTGTCTTGTTCTGCGTTTGTATAGCACCAAGCAAAATGGGGATCTGGGTCCTTGACTGCAACTCCTAGGTGCTACAGTCATACTACTTCTACTAAGTACTCGTTCTGGAGAGGATATTTATAGGTGGGTCCCATCCCCTTCTCCCCAATGACTGACAGATCCAGCTTCTGAATACTGCAGGTGAAGTGACCCCAGGTCTAGTCTCAGCAGACTCAACATGGAAAAAATTAATAGATGGGCAAAAAGTATATTTGGGAGTGGAAAAGAATCACAAATATTTTAAATACTGGAATTAGAGTGCACTTCTTAATTAATAGCACAAGGAGTATTTATGTCGCATCTTCCTTTTATCTGATCTCTGTTTAAAATAAAAGGCAAAGCAACTGCAGGTGGGTTTTTCCTTTCCTGTTAGATGTTTGGGGACTCCTAAAACAAACATATTTTAAGAAGGTAAATGGTGGCTCATGAAATAGGCCTCCAGAGAGAAATCACATCCTTGTATTCTTATTTTAACAGCTTCATAGACAAGGGGAAATATGCAGAAAAAGTATTGGTGAGTGTGACCTTCCCGAGTTCTGCAATGGGACTTCAAGCTGGTGCCCAGAGGATGTATTTAAGCAAGATGGAACTCCATGCGGTGACAATGACTGTTGTTTCCAGGGGAGATGCCGTAACCACGAGAGACAGTGCAAAGCTGTATTTGGCAAAGGCAAGACCTGCATTATTTACAAAAACACATAGCAGCATCAATTAACTCTTAGGAAATTGGCCAGTTCTTATGATTGTCATCTGGGGACTTGGTAACAGACTTTTTTGGGCAGGGGGCTCTGCCACAAAGGAAGGAGAGTTTGTGTGGCTGCTGGGAGTGGCTGCAGTCTTGGTTGATCCTGCCTCACCTTTGCTCCTCTCCATCAGCTTGCCCTGTCTAATCAGTGGATTCTATATATCACATCTACATATTAGGATGGTTATTCTAGAACACCAATCACTGCAATATCTAAACAGACACTCTGTACCCTACTTCCCCTGCTGCTGGACTACATGCTTCCTCAGCCCTGGAAACAATAGAAGAGGTTTGGAGTGGCTCCTAGCACACAAGGCAGCTGACTTTTGGGAACAGATGGTTTGGAAAGTTGGGGTAGATACCTCCTTATGACTACAGAAGGTGCTAGGTGATAGTTAATGAAATGCAAAGCATTTCATTGAGGAAAGAGTGCTGAGACACCCAGGAAGAATATCATCATTCTCAATACCTACTTTGGTGTGATGGGGTGGACTAGATCCAGAGGTCCCCTGCTGGAGGCCTTGTGGCCCTTCCTCTTGCCTCCCCAGAAAAGTGCAGAGAAGTCCTCCAGGCAGCCTAGATGGGCTTCAGGGGTGTAGCCCATCAGAGAGGCTGCTGGAGTGACCAATCAGGGGCCAGAAGGGCCATATAAAAGGAAGCAGCAGAGGCAGAGCAGCCAGTTGCTTCTTGGAGCTCAAAGAAGGAGAACTGGGTACCTGGATGGCTGGAAGAGCAACAGGACCATGGAAAGGTTAGTGTGGGCCATGAGAAAGTACTAGAGATTATATATCCTGGAAGGGAGGGACAGTGTGTGTGTCTCAGCTGGAAGGTCGACTGAAGACCCACCAAAAGAACCATCACTTGGGGGTGGGGAGGAGGAGGCATGCTCATGAGAGGCAATGCCACCATGTTCAAAACTGAGTGATTGCTTAAGAGCCCTTACTAAGGCCTGGTCTACAGTAACCCCCCAATTCGAACTAAGGTACGCAACTTCAGCTACGTGAATAACGTAGCTGAAGTCGACATACCTTAGTTTGAACTTACCGCGGTTCAGACGCAGTCCACACGCGGCAGGCAGGCTCCCCCGTCGACTCCGCGGTACTCCTCTCGCCGAGCTGGAGTACTGCAGTCGACGGCGAGCACTTCCAGGATCGATTTATCGCGTCCAGACCAGACGCGATAAATCGAACCCGGAAGTTCGATTGCCAGCCGTCGAACTACCGCGTAAGTATAGACATACCCTAAGGGACCTTGTCAAAGGCTTTCTGAAAGTCCAAGTATGCTATATCCACCCTTGTCCATGTGCTGGACCACCTTTGTCCATGTGCTTTTATGGGATATATGTTCTTTACTGTAGTTTCAACCAGTTTGCCTCGTACTGAAGTTATGTTTACTGGGCTGTAATTGCCAGGATTGCCTCTGGAGCTTTTTAAAAACTCAGCATCACATTAGCTATCTGCCAGTCATCTGATACAGAGGTTGATTTAAGTGATAAGTTACATACCACAGTTAGCAGTTCTGCAATTTCATATTGGAGTTCATTCAGAACTCTTGGGTTAATACTATGTGTCCTAATGACTTATTACTGTTTCATTTATCAATTTGTTCCAAAACTGTCTCTACTGACACCTGAATCTGGGACAGTTCCTCAGATTTGTCACCTGAAAAGAGAGGCTCAGGTGTCGGGATCGCCCTCACATCCTTTGCAGGGAAGATGATGCAAAGAATTAATTTAGCTTTTCTACAAAGGCCTTGTCTTCCTGAGTGCTCCTTTAGTAGCTCTATTGTCCAGTGGCCCCACTAATTGTTGGAATATGTGCTGCTTCTGATATGCTAAAAAATTTTTTTGCTATTACTTTTTGTGTCTTTTTGCTAGTTGCTCTCAAATTTTTTGACCTGCCTAATTATACATTTACAGTTGACTTGCCAGAGTTCATGCTCCTTTCTATTTTCCTCAGTAGGATTTGACTTCCAATTTTTAAAGGATGTCTTTTTGTCTCTAACCATCTTTTACTCTGTTTATCCATGGTGACATTTTTTCACTCCTCTTCCTGTTTTTGTTTTTTCTTAATTTGGGATATTAATGTTGTTTGAGCCTCTATTCTGGGGTTTTTAAAAAAGTTTCCATGAAGCTTGCAGGCATGGCTTCCCCTATCCTTTTGTATAGTTCCCCTTTTTGAAGTTAAACACTGCTGTGATGGGTTTTGTTGGTGTTTTCCTTCCTACAGGGATGTTACATTGAATTACATTATAATTGCTGCTATTGAACGTTTTAGCTATATTGACCTTGCACTTGCACCAGATCCTGTGCTCCACTTAGGACTAAATCAAGAATTGCCTCTCGCCTTGTGGGTTCCAGGACTACCTGCTCCAAGAAGCAGTCAGTAATGGTGCCTAAAAATTTTTATTTCTGCATCTTGTCCTGAGGTGACATGTTCCCATTCAGTAGGGGATAGTTGAAATCCCCCATTATTACTGGGTTTCTGTTTTTGTAGCCTCTCTAATTTCCCTGGGCATCTCACAATCACCATCACTATCCTGGTTAGTTGGTAGGTAGTATATTCCTACTGCTTTACTCTTCTCATTCAAGCATGGAATTTCTATCCATAGAGATTCTGTGGTACTGTTTTATGTAGTAAAAACCTTAAAATAAATTTGACTCTATGCTTTTTCACATATAGTGATGCTCCTCCACCAGGATGACCACCTGTGTCGTTCCTATATGCTTTGTACCCTAGTTTAACCATGTCTGATTAATTATCATTCCACCAAGTTTCTGTGGTGCTTATTATATTAATATCCTCATTTAATACCAGGCTCTCAATGCACCCATCTTAGTATTAGCACTAATAAAATTTGTCAGTATTTATTTGTGTGCCTTCGTGTGATGTAATTGAATGGCACATTTTTTTTCATTTGACTGTTTCTCTTCATGGCTATCTTCTCCTCTTTACTAGGGCATAGAATATCCCCTTAGAGACATCCTTTAAAGTAGGATTTATTAGTCTGAATGATGTAATACTCCACACCTGTCATCTTCCCCCCCAGTCCTTAGTTTAAAAACTCCTCTATGACCTTTTATATTTTACACGCCAGCAATTACTGCATGAGTCTTTCTTTGTTTTCATATACACTCAGTTTCAAACACATGTGTGGTAGAGGTTGCAGCCCAGAGCGTTGTCAGATTCACTCCGCACCTTCTGATAATGAAGGAAAGATTATGGATATTCTGGGCAGAAAAGTACTTACTTCTGCTACCTTTGGCATAAGAGTGGTTAATGATCAAGCTATGATGGAACACTACTGATATCATCTTTTCCCCACAGCTGGTGGCATTTGCAAAATCCCTCTCTGAAGATCAGTGGAAGTTCGCTAATGACCTCATTTCTGGCTGACAACTTGTTGCAAAAACATGGTTTAAGGGCATTTGATGCCTCTGAAACTTTTGCCAGAGCAGTTGCTTCTGCCATCGCTCTCAAATTACAAGCATGGCTTAGATCATCTAGACTCCCTCCAGAAAGAGACTAGAGTGGAGAATCTTCCCTTTGAAGGAGATAGATTATTTAGTAATACGATGGATGAAGGCTTCGAGAGAATGAAAGACAATAGGTTTACAGACAGAGCTTTGGGATTATAGCAACAGCCCAGAAGACGATCCGGTGCACCAGTATTCAGCTATCAGAGGCACCAATATTCATTTTTGTCTTTGACGTCTTATTTTTCACAGAAGCACAGCTATCATCAGCAAAGCAGAAGATCTTTTAAGCCTTGTTCAAAGGGTAAACAAACCCCATGGTCAACATCTGGATCAGGCCTCAGGCCTCATGTTTCATATGAGTCCTGAGAAGTGCAGACCAATTTTGAGACATTTCTTACCTATCCCATTTGAAGACTTCTATGTCCTGTCTATGACAGCTAGAGTGTTATAGCCCCAGTATCTCTTGACTTTAGTAAGGCTTTTGTTACTGTCTCACATGTCCTCCTCATAAACAAAGTAGGGAAATCCAACCTAGATGAAGCTACTATAAGGTGCATAACTGGTTAGAGAACTGTTCCCAGAGAGTAGTTATCGGTGGTTCACAGTCAAACTGGAAAGGTATATCGAGTAGGGTCCCACAGAGATCAGTTCTCGGTCTGGTTCTGTTCAATATCTTCAATGATTTAGACAATGCATAGAGTATACATTTATAAAGTTTGTGGACAATACCAAGCTGGGAAGGGATGCAAGTGCTTTGGAGGATAGGATTAAAATTCAAAATGATCTGGACAAAATGGAGAAAGGGTCTGAAGGAAATTGGATGAAATTCAATAACAAACGCAAAGTATTCCACTTAGGAAGGAACTATCTGTTGCGCACATACAAAATGGGAAATGACTGCCTAGGAAGAAGTAATGTGGAAAGGGATCTGGGAATCAGAGTGGATCACAAGCTAAATAGGAGTCAACCATGTTAACACTGTGGCAAAAAAAGCAAACATCATTCTGGGGATGTATTAGCAGAAGCGGTTTAAGCAAGACATAAGTAATTCTTCCACTGTACATGCAGCTGCTTGTGCCTCAGCTAGAGTTTGTGTCCAGTTCTGGGCACCACATTTCAGGAAAAATGTGGACAAATTGGAGAAAATCCTGAGAAGAGCAACAACGATTACAGGTATAGAAAACATGAACTATGAGAGACGATTTAAAAAAATGGGTTTGTTCAGTCTGGAGAAGACTGAGAAGGGCACATGATAATAACAGTTTTCAAGTATGTAAAAGGTTGTTACACGAAGGAGGGAGAAAAGTAGTTCTCCTTAACCTCTGAGGACAGGACAAGAAGCAATGGTCTTAAATTGCAGCAAAGGCGGTTTAGGTTGGACATTAGGAAAAACTTCCTGTCAGGGTGGTTAAGCACTGGAATAAATTGCCTCAGGAGGCTGTGGAAT